ATGACTGGGGCTCCTATGCCTACTTAGCTGGGTCAAGTTGAAACAGCATCCTAGGAAGCTGGGCTCTGAGCCAGGTGTCGGAGACATGGGTCCATTAGCATTTAATCGCCAATGAAATGCAAAGAACAAGCAAATTAAGGGCTAGCCAATAGGCATAGACCTGTGCATCTAGCTTCAATCAAAATTGTTGACACTTCTCCAATTCAAGGTGCTCCTTCAAGGCTCCTGACCAGCAACTGGTGATTCTTTTGATAATATTTTCACTGCCCTTCTAGGAGACCAATCTCACTATGTAAGATGATTATTATAATAAGAGCTAATATTTACTGTGTGCCTGCTGTGCCTCTGGCACTGTTCTACACAACTGTAAAGGTGTTAACTTATTAAATTCTCAAGTCATTTTCAAAAGTTAATTTCTATTATTTTTATCAACCTTGCTTTACAAATGAGTCCTTAGAAAACAAGGACTTAGAAAGGTTAAATAATGTGTGCAAGGTTAACAGGTAATAAGTGGCTTGGGCTGTAACTCGGACCTAGGCTGAAGTGACTCTGTGTTCTCCACACCACACTGAGTTTTCTTGATTGATTCGACACACGTAGGTCTCCAGCAGGCACTATGTTTGACTTTGAAGATTGTGATGGTTAATTTTAGGTAAAAAGCTGCCTGGATTAAGAGATAGGTGGTAAAGCATTATTTCTGGGTATGTCTCTGAGGGTATTTCCAGAGGATATCGGCATGTGAGTTAGTGGACTAAATTGGGGGGATCCTCCTTCAATGTGGGTGGGCACCATCTAATAGGCTGGGTGTCTTGATAGAGCAAAAAGGCAAGGAGAGGCTCTCTTGCTCTCTCCTCTGGAGATGAGACACCCTTCTTATTCCCGTCTTTGGCCATCAGAACTCTAGGTTCTCCAGGCTTGGAACTCTGAGACTTGCACCAGTGGCCTCCTGGCTTCTTAGGTCTTCAGCCTCAGAGTAAGAGGTGCGCCAAGGGCTTCCCTGGTTCTGAGGCCCTCCATGCTACTGGCATCCCTGGGTCTCCAGGCTTATCGACAGTCTATTGAGGAACTTTTCAGCCTCCATAATCACAGGAGCCAATCCCCCTATCTCTCTATCCTATTAGTTCTGTCTCTAGAGAACCCTGACTAATACAGACATGCCAATATACTCAGGGCAAGTTTCATTTTCTCCAACCTAACGTGATAGAAGAGGAAACTATCATGCAGAAACAAATATCTACTGACACATTTTGTAAGCAGTATGAACAAAGCATCATGGGAGAGACAACTAGACCCATGAAGTGATAGAGAATCACAGCAATGAGGAAAAATAGGATTGAGAAAGGCTTCTGGGAGGAAATGATGTTTAACCTTGGCCTTGAAAGATGAGTTGGAATTCTTTGAGTTGAGGAGCAAAGAAGAAAACGTAAGGGAGAATTATGAGAAGCAGAGCAAACAGCGTGAAGCACAAAAGCCTGAAAGTAGAATGGCCCAGGCTTGGAATAATGCAATGTTGCTAGCGTTGCCTGGCCATGCAACAGATGTGAGTTTGCATTCCATTGGCCAGAAGTATTAACAACTTAAGAATCTTAATTACAATAAAAGCACATATTCAGAGACGCTAAGACGAAAGAGATAATACTCAGAAACTACAACCAGCCGATGACTGATAAGCCAAAAATAGGAACTTAATGATGCTAAGAACCTCTAATATATCAGATCAACTCCAAGGTTAGTTCAATAGTTTCATTCACATATGTTTACACAACACCCTTTTATGCTGGCTGCTTTGTCAGACACTGATGGAAGATATGGTTCCTGACCCCGAGAGGTTTATTTACTCATTCAGCCACTTATTTATTCACTCATTCTGTTTATTCTTTTAACAACCATTTTTTGAGTACCTACTATGCGCCAGGCAAAGGGGCCAGCAGTAAAGACGACTCACATGGTCGCTCCCCTCATTGAGCTTATAGTCTAGGAAGGAGTTATTACCGACCAGGAAGACAGCCATATAACAGACAATTTTAATAAAATACAGTAAATGATACACACCAAAATAAGATTAAAACACAGAGAAGGACACTTATCTTACACTGACATTATCTTGGGCCTTGGTTTACTGTGGGATCCTTTGCTGTTATGTTCCCTATTGTGGAAAGATGCCATCTGGCCCTACAGAAAGCACAGACCGTGAGTAGATAGCCACATGGACTTCTAAGCCAACCGTCAGGGGCACCAGGAGACAGTACTGTCTCATGCCTCTGCTTGACTCACCACCATGAGGCAAAACAGTATTGCCGAATGAAAAGTTACAATAAGGATACAATTGTATCTACACAAACTTTTTAAGATATGATTACATCAATACCTACTATGTAGTAGGATCTTGATATTGTGTGGGGAGGAAGATAAAAGTAGATGTAACATTCAGACAGAAGTGAGGGAAAGGGAAATTTTTTTATGCATTGAGAGAGGAAGTTTGTGAATTTTTTCACTGGCATTGGAGTTAGAGAGACTTCAGTCCGACCACAGCCTCTCCCTGAGCTTATGACCAAGCCTCACTTTCCTCATCTATAAAGGTAACAAGAGTGATTTTTGTAGGTTTACTTATCTGTAAAGAGGAAACTATAGCAAGCTGGATATTATAGTGTAAAAAGAAAAGAGGATGGAAATGAGAAAAAGGGAGAGAGACAAACAAAAGAGAGAGCAGTGTCACATGTAACTCTGGGCAGAGTGCTTACCATGCCTCTTTCCCTTTGTTTACTCGCCTCAAAAAGGGAGATCATAACCTTTACCCTTTTTGAGACTGTTATGAAGATTAACTTAGGTGATATAGCGAATGTGCATTTCCTCTGTTCAAAACATTCTAACATGTATTATCCCCTCCCTCTCCACCCAAGACACTCCTTACATACAGATAAGGTTAGCTCAACATCCAAATTCAAATACTTGGAAAAGTTAAAAGGGAAACCTTTAAAATGATTAAATGCTGAAAGGGCTTGAGGTTATCTCAGAGAGAGGGTAATCAAATCTACTCAGGCTGCTTTGGAATGTCTCTCCTGGGATAGGCCTCCTCTGGCCCCACCACCAAAACATATCCCAGCTAGATTGCCGGGAGCAGCAGTGGTCACCCAGGTGGCCTCTCATTCCATTTTCTGCACAAAAAGACATTAAGCATATAGCTCAGTAGCTCCCAGTGTAAAACAGAACATCACCCGATTTCTACCTCTGAAGGTTGGGGACAGTCCTTTCTAGTCACTCTTCAGCTTCAGGGGGGTTGGTTGGTATCAGGGACAGCTGACAGCCTTATTCAGCCAACCAGCTGCTCTGTGATACACAATGTCCCTAATGCTCAAAGTCTGGTGGATGATTCTTTTGTATCCACATAAGCAGCAGTTGGAGGAGAATCGATGAGTCCCTTTGGTTGCCTCAGGGTGTCAAGGCTGCCATTCAAATCATTACCACCATAATTATTAACCATTGTTTTAGTGAGATGTCTGCCAGACAATTGTTTTCTTTATTTTTTAATCATTAAAAACGCAATCAAATTTCACTAAAGCAATGCTTGCCTCAAGTCGCATTCAACACATTTATTAAACCCCTTCTGTTTGCCGAGCTCAATGGAAAGTCTTGGAGGAGGGAATACTTAAAATGTTCTCGGGTTTAAAAGAATTGATACTGCTGTGGGGTAGAGGTTCACACACACACACACACACACACACACACACACAATTACAGGAAGAAGCTCGATAGTATACAATACATTGGTACTGAGTGTGATAGACAGTGCCACTTTCATATGCTGGATTTTATTTCTGTGGCAATGGGGTGCTTGGGAGGAGCCGCACTGTGTAGAGGATTTGGAGAAGTAGGGTACTGTGGTGGGAAATTGCTTTCTTTCCCAGCAGGTAGGAGGAAAACAATCAAAGGGGTGGACAGGATGTGCACCCCATTAGAGCAGCCACCAGAGCCTGACATTTTGATAGGAGAGTACATCAAAGGGTAACTGTTAAAAGTACCTTTAAAAGGACTTTTGCATCAGGATGAATGCTGTGGCCTCTGTGATTCAGCGATAAATTCAAAAGGCTTGTCCCTGTTGTGGCTTGCGGCCACATTTCGAACCCATTTATCAAGCATGTTAAACCGAGGGCCGCACATGGGGTAGTCACGACCCAAGCTCAATAACCTTGCTGGTGGGGATGTGTCGGACACGCTGCTAGTGCCCGTTTGCCACAACACTCGCTAGTCCCGGCGGCGGCGGTGTTCACGGGTAACAATGTTTACCACCGGGAAGGAAACTTGTTTAACCCTGATCAGAGAATGAAAACACTAAAGAACCAAGTAAGACCGAAGAGAACCGCACAGGAACCGCAGAGCCCGTGGACGAGCAGAATACCGAACTCGCGAGGGGCAAGTGGAAGCTCCCTGCGGGCAGGGGCCCGGCCACCGCCCAGCCCTGGGCGTGGCGGCCTCGGACTCAGGGCCCACGGAGGAAGCGGCGAGACGCCCCCACGCGCGGTGCGCTTCGATGCCTGACGGCGGCGTTCGGGGGAAATGGGCGCAGGTGAAAGCCCAGAAGGCGGCAGGGTCCGCGCGCGCAGCCTGACTTCGGGTCCGGGGAGAGACGGCGGCCGCGGCGGGGCGGCGCCGGGAGCGCGGCCCTGGTGGGAGCGAAAGCGAAGAGGGAAAAAGTGGCGCGAGAGGACCGTGCGGCGGCGCCGCGCGAGAGGCGCGAACGGACCTGCGGAGAGGCGGCTGCGGCGGGGTCCCGGGCGAGCGTGGGAACACAGCGCTCGGCCTCCGGCGGCGGACGGGCGCGGCCCCGGGGGCGGGCGGGTGCGACGGGACGTGACCGGGAAGCGCGGCGCGTGCCACCGCCCGGGCGCGGGCGTCCGGCCTCCGCGGAGCGGGCGGGCGCCGGGACCGAAGCCGGCGGCCGGGGCGGGGTGGGGGGGCGCGGCGTCAGCAGCCGCGGGTGCGGGGCGGGGCCGAGCGCGCGTGCGCGGCCGCGCGGGCGGGCGGGCGGGGGAGCGGGAGGGAGGCGGCGGGAGCGAGCGTGCGCGCGGCCGGGCAGCCTGGGCAGCGGGTCCTGCCTGTGACGGGCGGCGGCGGTCGGTCCTGCCCGTAACGGCGGCGGCGGCGGCGGCGGCTGCTCCAGACACCTGCGGCGGCGGCGGCGACCCCGCGGCGGGCGCGGAGATGTGGCCCCTGGTGGCGGCGCTGTTGCTGGGCTCGGCGTGCTGCGGTGAGTGGCTCCTCGCCCCCAGCCCTGCGGCTGCTGTCGCTTCGCCCCCGCGGGCGTGTGGGCTGCGCCCTCCAGAGGGTGGCCGGGGCGCCGAACGCTCGGGCCTGAGCGCCCGGAGTGCGGACGCGGGAGGGCCCCGCGGGGAATCGGGCGCCGCCTTTCTTCCTCCCTTCCTTTCCCCGGTTGCCTTTTCCCCCCCGGGTGACGGCGGGGCTCGTCGCCTCCACCCGGTTCTCCATCTCCAAATGCACACGCAGAGGACGACTCCAAACCGCGCACCTGGCGCAGAAATTAACTAGAAGGAAAGGGCGCGATCGCAGGCGAGGGGCTGCACCTGCCAGGGACCCCCTCCATGCGCACCCCTCTCCCTTCTCTGTGCTTAGACGCGTTTGGGGTTGAGGGAGGGAGAGTGGGAGGGCTCGGGCCTCTTGTGATGGAAGTGCGCATTTTGGCGAAGTCGGCGAGAAGGGGTTTTTGCTGTTTGCCTCCCACATGAACATAGGAGCGAAGAGGATGTAAAGGACACAATTAAGTTTCATTTTCAACTCAGCATTCAATCAGAAGAATCTTCCGGCCGTGTGATTTTTGCTTTCGTTCTTAATCCTAAAAATAAGCTTCCTGGAAACTCTTTCTTTCTCGTGACCCCCCATGCCCCATCAGCCACTTTCATACATTCCAAATTGTACGTTGAAGTTTTTCCCACTTTATTTGGGGGAACCGTTGAAAAGTAATCCGGATTTCGCCTGAAATAGGAAGACAGTAACCTCCAGTCAAAACATGTGCCATAGAATGGGATTTGGTGTCTTCCGACGCCAAAGAACCTTCCCCCCCCACCCCCCGCCACCCCCAAGCTTTTGGAATCCATTTCGCTTTTGTAAAACGTGTGCTTCGACTGTAAAAACAGCAAGGAATAGAAACATTCGTAGCTCTACAGTGCCTGTCACACTTCACATCTATAGAGCCTTTTGTGAACTTTCGTAAGATTCAGAATTGAGCTTGAGTACCAGTAACAGCAATTGTTACATTTATCCTAGAATGCTAAATTAATTCCGTTTTAAACTGATTATTAGGCTCAGTGTGCCGTTCCTAAAGGCTATCTCCAGGATACCCTTAAGTCTCTGCTTACCACTTTCCTCCTTCCCCAAGCATCCTGGATGTTGGGGCTGTGAATCAAGATCTCCGTTATCTAAATGGTTGATGTTAGTGTTTTCCTGTCATCACGTTTAGTGTGCTTGTTGCCTTCACTGTCATTATAGCTAAAATAATACTGCTTTCAGAGACGTGTTGTATAATCGCATCATAATTTCAGAACGCCTTCATATTAAACCAGATATGAAGTGATACAATATCACTTATTCAAACTGGCCAAAATAGTAAAAAATATAAACCATATCCCGTTTTTAAAACAGGCAGAATAGATTTAAATCAAGTGGATCTGAACTGTTGGAATGGTTCTTTGAGGAATAGGATTTGTTAGGCCTTCTTTAGTGATAGTTAATATTATTAACTAGCTCTTGTTTACACACAATTTTAATGTATTCAAATCCCTAGAGTCATATAATTCAGAATTTTTGTACTTAGTTAATATTAACCTGAAAAAAAAAAAAAAAGCAAAATGCAGGCATTATGCAATTGAGTTCTGTTAAGTGTGGACTGTTAAAGCAGGAAGTGATAGTATTTGTCATAAAATATTTTTTGTGTGTGTTTAATATATAGCTTCAAAAGGACATGTATGAAGAAAGATGTCTCAGCACACAGGTAGTTATAAACCAAGGGACTTGAGAAACTGACTTTATAATCTAGAAGGAGTAAGAAAGTCATGGATTTGTACATTCATTTGTACTGAAGTTTGATTTTGCTTTCAGTTTCATTAATTAAGCCCAGGGAATCAGGGACCTTTCCTGGTAACCTCTACAGTGTTAACTGGCCTTTGTGTTAAAATAAGTCATCTCAGATACTCATTTCCTGCAATTACAGGCAAACTGCAACACACCTTAATGGACTGCAAGATGTGGAATGAATTACTGTGTTGCTTTCCACTCTGCCCCCACCTTATGTTCAATTATACTTTGTTTAAAAGTGCATACAGTTTCAGTGGTATTCATTAGCAAGCAAATAAAACCTTAAATAATAATGGTGGTGTGAACTGTCTTCTTAGCAGTTGGATTTCTCTTTGTTCAAAATGAGTTTTTTTGTTTTTGTTTTTGTTTTAAATCGGGTACATATGATTAAAATTTTTTTCATTGTCTAAGTCTAGTAGTAAGTAATTTGACTTAAATGGAAATGTTTTCTCTTAAAGAATATATATATATATATAATATATATAAATACAAATTGCCATTTTTAAGGAAGTAAATGCCTGTTTAAAAGTACTTATTTATGGGGCCGCCCCAGCAGTCTAGAGGCAGTGTTTTTTAAAGCATTACACTAAATGCCTACCATTAGGACACTTGCTCATGCTGTCATCTGCGTTTTGGCAGATGTTTTATCTTTGCCACTGAGTTGTTCATGGAAATTTGAAAGGCCAGATTCTAAAGATGAGAAATAGATGACTTTCCCTCCAAATTGATGCATGTTCTGAATCCACAATAATCACTCATATTAGCAAAACTAGATTTGCATTTCATAATATGAATTCAGCTATAGCTAGTATAGGCATTGTTTTAAATACAGTAATGTTCTTTTTGTGACATAATTTTCAACCATGTTCTCTGTCTTTTAAGTTTCTGCTGTCCTACTTTTTTTATACAAGATAAACATTTCTATTTTCATATCTTATCTCTCAGTCTGATTTTAATAATGTTGTCTTGGGTTATCATAAAGTTAGTTTCACTTTGTATACTAGTGTAGATACTTCTTCTGTGATAAAAAGAAAAAGAATAGTAGTGTAGAATCGGTTTTGTTAAAGTCATTATATTACTAAAATAAAAAATACAGAGCACCCAGGAAATTTGATTCTGATATACCTAGGCTAAGACAATAGAACCTGGGTTTTCCTCTTTATGCTTATACAGTGTTGAAGCAGAAATCAAGCTATGCCCACCTCTGAATATTTCATTCCAAATCTATGGAGCAGTTGTGTAAGACTTAGGATCTGGTCAATTTCATGGTTTGAGATTTAGATTAGGAGAATTAATGTGCATATTTGAATATGTATTACACTTATAGGTTAAAAGGTAAGGCAAGGGGTTTGGCAAGTTCAATGTCTGTCAAAACCACTTTTTCCTTTTCAAGCAAGTATGAGCCTATCCTATGCACCAAGTACTTTGCTAAGCCCTCTTTGACATACAGACGAATTTTAGACAGTATGTCTCTTAATGACTTAAAATGTAGTGTATAGACAGTAGATATATTTTGTTTTTATCCCCTGATGGTAGTTAGGTTCTTGATAGGGCCATAATTCTAGATGTTATTGACTTTAAACTGCCCTGCCCCCTGTAATTCGAAGTTGGCCTCTTCCAGTCTTATAAGGCCACTTTTAAATTCATTAAGAGGGTTGCTTTGGGTCAGAATTAAATAAAACTTGCGGATACCCCACTCTACCCCAGACCTTTATTTTAGCCTCCATTGAGGAGAGATCTGACTTCGTCCTTTTTGTACATAACCCAATTTGGTTAAAGACTCTAGTTCTTCAATCCAGACACTAGTTCTAAGAGCAAAAATAGGTAGGATTCCTTTCTGGCACATATCTTTACTAATGATCTTTGCTGCTTTACCTTAGAGGCTGCTGAAGCTTCTTACCCTATTCCTGAACATGCATTCCCAGAAGATAATTAACTTCCTACTCTACTGCAAAAAATAGTGGTGTGTGGTTTGGACTCCCTCAGCTTCCCTCCCACCATTACTAAACTGATCTATAATCTCTTAGATAACCTTCATCTCATTCTCTTCCCTTATCCAGCTTCAGAAGAATACCTACTCACCTTTCCAAGGAAAGGACAAACTGTCTACTACTTTCTCACTTCCACCATCTTGGAGACCTGCTCAGTCAGCTTAATTCTTCCATCTTGCATCTTAGATCTTTCCATCTCCATTGACTCCTTTCCCTTAGCTTGCACACATGATCAAATTTTACCCCGTCAAACCATAAAACAAAAAACCTCAAGAAACAAAATGTCCTTGCCCTTGTCCCTGCCTCCACATTCTCAGTTGTTGCCTTCTCTGCTTTCTTAACACTGCCAAATTTATTGCAAAAGAATCACTGCCACCTAATATGTTTTAAGTGCTTGATAAAGCCATCTTCTTTCTCTATTCTCGTTCACTTCTCAAACATAGTGTGCATCAGATTTCACTAGGCCATTGACATTGCCGCAAATGATGTTCTAAGTTTCTATCCAGAGGCTGTTTTTACTCAGCCCACGTAACATCTATTTTGTCCATATGAAGACCTTCCCTTAGTGTCTGCAATGATACTTTCTGCTGTCTCTCCTGCTTCTGTCACTTCCTTTCCGCACTTCCTTAGTTTCTTCCCCTTCGACTATTTGTTCCATAAATATTGGTGTTTTCCAAGATTTTATTAGAGAATAATAAACCACCTGCTCTGTTTGCTGTGCAAGGACTCTCTGTGCAATCTTTTTTATGCTCATGGTTTCAATTGCCAGCCATATTCTTGGTGGTGACTCCCAAGTCTTTATAGTCCTGACTTTTCTTCTTAAATTCAGATTCATATGTCCTGGAACCTACTGGCCATTTCCATTTTATTCTACCACAGGTACTTTAATACCCAGCCTATTAAATATTGAAAGACATTTTCCCCAAATATGTAAGTCTCTTTTCTCTATAATTAACCTACTATCTAACTGGCCAGGCGTATATCTGGTCAACAATTTTAATTTTGCCCTCTTGGTCTCTCCTGCCTTCCGTGTCTGACCTCTGTTGATTGCTGTAAGTTTTTAGGTTTCCTCTCCAGTTGTTCTTTACCATTGCAGTAGTCTTCTCCGTGGGTCTCCCTTTCTCTTTTCCCATCCTCCCCTCAGTCTGTGCTTTACACTGCTGTCAAT